ACCAGTGAAACATAGCTGTTTCTGCCAAAAAAAAGTCCAGTAAAGAGAAAAATTTATGAGATTTTAATTGGGTAGGTCTAAAATAATGGCAGAAAATATGTTGCATATATATCCTTTTACCCAACAAAACCCCAGTCTACTGCTATAGTTTCTTCGTGATAAAGGGGGGATAAACAGTTTTTCGGACAGACAGGGGTTTTGGGCACATCTTCATTAACTCAAAGACATTATCCCCACCTTGTTTTAAGATTGCCAATGAGTAGGAGCTCAATATTGAATCCGGAAGTGTTCTTAATAGAGGCAGGGCGAATTGAGTACAGCTTGGATTATCTTTCACTTATCCTAAGCGCTGCCTTCGTCAAGCTTCCAGGAGACTCAAAAGCCCTCAAACACAAGTCTTAGCAAAATAACCGGAAAGAACTGCGAAAGAGGAGAGTTAGGCGGCGATTTAAGAAAAAAAAAGCATTTCTGCGCTGAAAGCAATGCATTTTATCTCATAATTCAACGGAATCTAATATTGAAGTGTATTTGGGGCCCATAAAAAATACTGGATGCCAAAGAAGCGATGAGTGTCGGATAAAAGAACTGCGTCAATTATTCGACAAACTCTGTCGCACAAATTTTTTTAAAAATTTCGATTTATTTATAATTAACAGAGTAATAAATTTGTAAGCGCCTGCATAGCGTTTGTTTTAGTAAAATTACATCCAAATTGTTTTAGGAAAATTTTACAACAAAGTGATGTATGCCATTTTTTTCGAATTTCTTTGTTAAGCTCAGCACTATATCTTTAAACTTGAAGGTTTTCGATACGTTTAGTGCCTTTTCAATACTTTGAGGAAAAAAAAATGCTAAATGGAAACATTACTGATATCCTTCTTTGTACCGCTTCTCCCTTTTTTTTCTGGGGAATTAGACCTACCAATTTCTTTAGCGTAAGAATTCGAGCAATTTGCTCACAACATTCTGCAATCTCATAAGCTGTTCTTTTCTTTCTACAACAAGCAACCTGTTGCTTGGCAAGATTTTTTTTCTTACTGGATGGGTTGTCTAGGATAATTGCGTAGTGGCTAAGGCAGTTGTGAGCGTTTTTTCTTGAATAAAAAAAAGTACTGGAGATTTTTGCTTTATGTTTTCACAATTGTTGTTTTCTGATGCCTAGTCTTCCAAATAAACTAACCTATTGTTTTTGTTTGTCATTCTTGTCGAATCATCAAGTTTGATTAAATTTTCCTCGTTGAGTAATAGAGTTATCTCTAAAAACAAATCGAGACTAGCAAATGCCCCTCACATCCTGGATGGAAATCCCGCCCACAAGTGATTGAGTGTGTGTAGATTCGTGGTTTCCCCGGCCGGCTTGTCTGGCTGCCATTGCTGCCGAAATGCGTCGAGAAAACTCTTTAACCACTCGACTTTTGTTTAATGATAGCACCAGTGATTACAACTATAAAGTAAGCTTTTCCTGACTCTTGCAAAATACTTTGAGAATCCAAAATAATGCTCTTTAAAGTACTTTATAGGGCCTAAGCTCGATTTTTATGCTTCCCTAGGAACTTTAACCAACATGTATTCTAGAAAATCCTCTACCTATAGAGTCTGAAAAGCCAATAATAATAATTTCTCTTCCAGAGTCTTGAAATGGGACGACCGGACACGTTGGAGCCGTTGCGAGGCAAATTGAATAAGGACGAGTTTAGGTGAGTGGGTTTAGGTTAGCCTAATTTATGAGAGACACTCCTATTCAAGAAAGTGGAATCAAATCGACTTCTCCTAAATAAATAAAATTGGATTGAAAAGAACTACTGGATCTGATAAAAAATTAAGAAATGCGCTTTTAACAATAAAAGATCATAAAATCATTTACCAAGGTTCTTTCATTTCTGTAATATTTACGGCTCTAAATCCTACCAAGCAATAAAATTTTTTTTTCAAATCATAGAATTTGTCTTATTTTTGAGGCCACCTTTCAAAACATTTTTCGGAAAATTTAATCTTTTTGAAGCATTCATATATTGTTGAAGAAACTTATATTGTTGAAAATCAAAATTTTCTGAATCTTTCGAAGTCCCTCCGTTAAGGTTTTTGTACACCTTTTTCTAGTCAAGCTCATCAAAGTTTAGTTTCTAGATCTAAGTTTTCTTATTAAAGTTTATTGCATCTACTTTGTCATCTAGAGATGTAAATTCAATGTTTTATCTCTACGTTGAAGGAGAAAGGTTTACGTAAAAGTTGCCTTACGCTGGGTACTTTTTCCACCCAGTTCTTTGGTCACTTGCACATTTGCCTCAAAAACTTCGTGCCACTTACTTATGTCTTTTTATATCCACAAGAACATAGTAAATATTAGAATTTACAAAAATTATGGAAAATAAATAAAAAAACAATGTTCAATGTTTTCATGTGCTAATCTCCCGACCATTTTACGTTATTTAAACTGTTGCTTTACGTTGTTGCATATTCTGCCTCATTGATCTTTTGAAAAACGTAAGTTTGTAAACGTCAAAATTTCTATCTTTGACTAAATTTGCTCCTCCATCCTCATTTTAAGCTTCGTCAGCTACACCATTGACACCTCAGAAAATCTTTCCAGAGCAAATTGGGGTTCTTGCAAGTCAGGATATATTTTCATAAGTTGCAAAGATTAGAGAAGCTAATAAAAGAATATAAATTTTTCTTATATTAGACCTATAGACATGTAAAATTCACTAATTATTTCAGTGACAAAAAAGTAAAGACTGAAATATACAGCAAAACTTTGAAAGTTCTAGGCACCATGGCACTGACGTTTGAATAGTTTACCTCTAAAATAGGCAGTTAGGAATATTTGTCTCTGGTTTAAAAGCTCTTTTGAAGAAGTTGAATTCCAAAGATAAAGGAAATTACAAGTGGGAAGTAAGCTTCAAGGAAGTTTGCGCTCGCCATCTCTCATTGGCTTCTCTTTTCCTTCTCCTAATACACGTCATATGAATAAATGAGCAATTAACATCGTCTTGATAGATTTCTAAATTCCGTGCTAAGACAAAGAGCTCTACGTCAGCCGGAAATGCACCTTATGCTTTATCTTAGTCTAAGCCTTAGGAGAAAACAATCTATGGTTTTTATTTACCTTTTAGTAGCAACAAATAAAATGTAGAATTCTTTACGCAATTTGAAGTTTGAAAAAAATTTGTGTGGATTTGAGATTTTTGAGCATCTTTCAGTGTTTTACCTTTGGCTACATATTTAATTTTAAAAAAACCTTAATTTTAGGCCTTCTTACACTAATATTCTACCTATTAAAACATAAAGAATTGCCTTTTTTACAGTCTTACATACTTTTTTCCCTAAAATTTCTCATTCATTTTCAGCCCCGAACTGCTTGATGCTCTGGATGAAGTGCATGACGACGAATCGCTGCTTCTAGAGGCGTGTCGTCAGGACTCTCTGTATCCCGTATACTTTGAGCATATAAATACTGGTAGAATGCAGGTACTATCCCTAAATTTCCTACTTAAATTTGCAAATGGTACCTCTTCATCCATTTTCCTAAAGAAATGTAACCAATTTAACGCATCGCTTAGTAATTTGCTGTTCTACGTATGTCTCTGCTACTGTGTCTAATGTTTCTTGATAGAATAGGGACAAATACAACTCGTCTGTAAGTGTATGGTATTGAGTAAACTCGTCATTTTATTGCA